GAGAGAGAGGGGGGGTTAGCGAAGTTTATCGCATACAACGCACACCATAGTACCGAGACAGCGTTACTCAAGGTCTGTACTGATATTGTTTTAAAAGGAATTGATGAAAGAAAGGTGTGTCTTCTTACTGTTTTTGGACCTTTCGGCTGCATTTGATAACTTTGACCATTACATTTTCTCGAGAGACTAAATACTACTTTTGGTGTAAAGGGTGCTACTTTCCTTCGATGGTTTGAGTCATAGATCGAAAACACAAGCAGTTGTGGTTGAAAACGTGTTCACATAATGTTTTACTCATATTTGGTGTTCCCCAGGGGTCTTTTCTTGGACATGTCTTGTTTACAATGAATGCACAACCTATTGCTGAGATTTTAGGACAGTCTGGCAGGAATTATCATCTTTATATCATAATGTAAGTCTATCGATTTTGATCAAGCCTCACTTTTAGTCGACTCTACTGAGCAATGTATTCAGGAATTAAAAATATGGATGACCGGTAATAAATTGAAACTGAAAGATGGCAAGACGGAAATAATGTTGAGTGGAAATACAATAGCCATTATAAATTTCCCAAAACTACAAATTGACATCAATAATTATATCTTTCCTTCTAAAAAGAAGTCTTAAAAATCTAAAGGTTTAGTTGGATTATGATATTATGTCTATGTGCTCCCAAATTATCCAGCTCAGCAAAAGTATCAATTTTCAGTTTCAGAAAATTGACAGTGTAAAAAATATTTAACTAAAGCAGCAGCCAATACATTAGTAACAACACTGACATTATAAAAATGAGATTACTGTAATTCTATTTCATCCGATTTGACGACCGAAAAACCATCAAAGTTACAAGTACTTTAAAATCAAGCAGCAAAATTGCTAAAGAAACAAAAGAAATCAGCGCACGTAACACCAATTCTGAAAGAACTACACTGGCTGACAATAAAAGAAAGGATCAAATACAAAACTGCCGTTTTCTGTTTTAAATGTATGGATGACATTGCACTTATTATCTAAAAGAATTCTCAGGACTATGTCATCCACCCAGAGCCCTTAGATCAGCCACTGAATCGAATTCTTAGAACCCAAAAACAAAATTACTAGGCCAGGGCAAGATCGACTCTGGGATCGATTCTTTCGAGTCCAAATGAGGACTCAAAGAATCGATCTTGTTCCCAGACTCTAAGCTTCGAGTCCGCCCAGGGTCGATGCCTCCCGTCTCCTTTTTTTTAGCCTGGTTCCTAGCCTAGACTCCGAGAATCGAGGCAAGAATCTAGATCTCTATCGCACT